GCGCACGAACTTTGAATGCTAAATCTAATCTACTTGAATGTTGTAGAAGACATCATGAACAACTCGACACGAATTTTTTAAACTCAGGTAACGCTGTCTCCAGAGAATAATCCAGAGACTCCAGTATTCACCACTCCTGTGAGTGTAGCCAGTTATTTCCAGTTTCCGTCAGTACCTAATGATGGACAACTTTACATCGTTCGTTTGGAGTCGTCCCTCTCTTCATTTAACTATCAGTACATCCGACCTGAATCTACGGTCACTGCCACTGGAGTGCGGGCTCATGTTACGTTTAAGTTTGAACCACAGGTATGACATGCTCCCAAATTTATTAGCATCCCGGATGTGAACCGTAACCGGGAAAACGCTTAATTTCTTTACTACCGATTTTTTCGGTTTCTGTTTGGGTTTTGTAATCAGTGATCTTTTTATCTCGATTATTTATTTCCTCTCAGCCGCGTAAAGTTGAGCCAGAACCAAGTCACGGATCATTTCTAACGTTACCTTTGTTAGTGATTCTGATCCTGGTTGCTGTGAACCACAATAAGGTACGAAAAACTCAAACCGTTTCATTTTTTTACTATCATGATTGAGTGCAAACCGGGTATCTATGGATTACCACTCGTCTATTACCTTTGGTAACAGTTTTCTTTGATTACAGGCTTTTTGAAGAAAAACTTTTTCCACTGAAATCACGCGTACGAAAGGTATTCCGCTGAACTTAAGGCTATAGCGAAACTAACTAAGAAGACGATCCTAAGAGGGTGTGGGCGATAGAAAGAATTCCTTTCTCATAGACTTTCTTTATTTAGTCGATTCCTCGAAATAAAACAGAAGCTTCAACCTTAATTTTTAAGTAGAATCGCATCATTGAATAAAATCTCGCTTCCGATTGGTTCACGAAGCGAGATATTTAGCGTGGAATTGCGAGTTGAAAACCAGGCTGTGGTATTGTTTCGCATCTACATGTACGTATATATAACAACTATAAGTAATGCTGTTTTCTTTTTTTTTCTCCTTTTTATTCAATTATGCGATTCAAAGAAAATTCAATACTTGACTGGCTCGTGAATTCCGCGTTAAATTGTACTTGAAACCGATACCTCATTCGTCGCTTCGTGATTGGTGCGATATCGGTTTTTGCGTGCAATTTAATGCGAAATTCCCACGTCAAATAATGAATTTCCTTATAGAATATTCATAATATTGTAGTGAAGCTCCGTCTTATTTTCATGTGCACTTTAGAGGTAGACTGTTTTTTCTAACCATGCGCACGTGTATCAAACTTTTAGAAAGCAAACGTGTGGTCAAGGTCATTTGCTTTTCAAGCTTGAACAAAACAAAAATAAACAAGACAATTATAGAACTTTGCGAATCATCAAAACAACACTTATCTCATTTCACAAAGGGAGACGCTGGGACCCAAGGGTTAGTGCGCTGTACTCCTTGTGCAAAAATACTTTACTCTCAGTGCCTGTCTCAACCCAGGAGTAGAAATGAGTACGGGGCGAGTAGAAATGAGTACTGGGGCGAGTAGAAATGAGTACTGGGGCGAGTAGAAATGAGTACTGGGGCGAGTAGAAATGAGTACTGGGGCGAATTGTCAGTGAAGCGATGGAATAACAACCCATCGGAGGCGGGGGGGGGGAGGCAGTGATACTCCCATTCGCGTAATGCTAAGGAAGCTAGAATAAGCTCCTTTGGGACGGGTCAATTGGGTGGAGTGCAGACTTATTGATAGTCAAAATGAGAGCCTCATTAATGCGAACGTCAAACGACAAGGATTGAATTCTTTCGGGTGTGCTTTCATACTTTTAACGCAGTTATTTTAAAACAGTTGGATAGATGTAAATTGGAGTTCATTTATAATCGATGTTAAGATCCCTGAAAGGATTCAAACAGATGTAAGTAGAATGAGAGGTGATTTTTTCCATCTGTGTCAGCAGTAAACGAGTCTTTCCCAAGTGTATCCACTGTCAACAATATTTTAGAAATCGGCTGCCCGCGTAATGAGCGGGAAAACATAGAAAGTTAGAAATCGGAAGAAAACGTCGTGGGTATTAAGGGCAGGGAAATGCAACTCATTTATTTGACTGTTTATTTTCAGCTCATTCCTTTCATCCAACAAGTACCTCAATTTATACAGGGAGTATCCGCTGACCAACTACAAGCTCAGATCGAGGATCCTTTCAAGAACAAGAGGAAACCAAAAGAAATGCGACGAAGATAACAGAAAGTAGGGTCTAGGAATTATATAGAATTGTTTAAACGCTCCAACGATTGAATATTTACATCACAAGTGAAGAACAATCCCAAGCAATAACGTCCATTTGATATTTGTATGTTTAAGCTGCCCCAAGAGTTTTCTTGGTGTAGACGACGAGTGAATACTTTGCATCGACACTGCTCATTGAGCGAGTTCTGTGACGCGCTTGGTACTCTCGCGATGATCGCTTCCGGTTGATACGTTCTGTCGGTATTGTCTTCTGAACATTGTTGTCCTCTGAATATTCTAAGAAAGATGCAAAAACTATGGGTTAGTCTCTGTCACTCCTTGTTGCTTCCAGGAGGAAATCAGGTCTATCATTGTTACCGAAATCGATCAAACTTTAACCACTAGATGGATGTTCCCCTTTGAAAATGTAATAAACTTGGTTAATCATCAGCTAAGAGTTTCGTAAGAAAACTGTTCTACTTCTTTACGGTGCAGTTAATTCTTAATCCTGTACACCCTAACATCAGTATGCATATTCTCCATACTGTTCTCTATACAATTCCTAAGATGCTGACAAGGAGAATTTATTTAACAATCAAGATCTTCTTTAGCTAGTGATCATTTCCTTCATTCTCGTGACCTTAACCTGTGATTCGGGGGGGGGGATATTTTGAGGAGAATTTAAATGCTTGTCACTACTAGCGGTTAATTTGTTAGGGAGTAGTTGGTAAAAGTAGGTAAATCACCTTGGCGAAGTACTGACCGTTTGGAGTATCAGCCCCAAGTCAGAGAAAAGTAGTCCGACGAAGGGTTGTCTTCGAGGAGGATGAAGGGTTATGGTGAATGGGCGCGTCCCTTCTCTCTTTTCCGCCGGATGTATTTCTCCAATTACCCATTGCTTTCTCATTAGAGCTACTTAGGTTAACTTTGAGGGATCTCTAACTTTGCGACTTGCCATCGAAAACTGATATACTATCGTTTTTGAAAGAACAGGTCATGTTCTGTATGAAAGCGATCCTTAATTTTGCTTCTATTTGCGGGCTTTAAGCGCGGGTGGCCATTCGAGGGGGCTTTTAATCGAGTAGTTACAGGTTTTTTCTTTTTTTTTTTCTTTTTTTTTTTTAAACAAACAAGTAAGAAGCCTCTAGATCTACTTACGTAAGGTATCTCTGTTTGTTAACAATGAAGATGACCTTTTTTTCATTGGTGTGCCTACTGACACTCCACCCCACGTTTTTCTGTCCCCATGTGTCTCTTCCGTGACAGAGTATGACCGTCGGAAGGGTCGGCTGCGTTCATCGTCCACAAGTTTTCCAACATGCCAGAACAAAATAAAATCGTAGCGCCGCTTCGGTGTGTTTGCTGACACTCCACCCCACGTTTTCCAGCCCGCCCTGTGTGCGTCTTTGGTGAAAGACTGTAATCGTGAAGAGACTCGGCTGGGCTCGTCCTCCAGTAGTTTTCCAACATGGCACCGCCTCGTACGAGATGCACGCACGACATTTGCACGGCACTTTGTGACTATTTTTACCCCAACCTTTTTGGGCCTCCTAAATGTTAAAAACGTTAATGCAGCTTTCCTATAGCGGTTGTTTCTATAGAAGTAGATGGCTGGATTCACCAGAGCGTTAAACTGGAGAAAAATCTCCGCCCATCGGAAAACACTAAAACTATGTAAAATTGGGAAGAAATGCGCAATCATTAAGACTGTTACCAAGGGAACACTGAAGACAAGAACGGCTATTGTCACAAAAAGCACATTGTCGTTAATTTTGCTTTCTATTCTTGCTTTCACTTGAGCATTATCTCGGCCGATTTGACTTCCCTTCAGTTTCTGCGTTTCGATGTAAACCATACGATAAAAATACGCCATTAGAGTAATGCCCACAAGCCAGACAAGAAAACCGCTGACTTTAATGGCCAGGAGAACCACCTGCTGAGTATCAGATGCTGTAAATGTGACATAAAACGCGACTGTTAGAATGGCTGTTATCCAAGCGATCCCTGCATATCTCTTTACGCGTTCCTTTGTCACTATAAGTTTGTATTCCGTCCATCTCGCTATCGCCACATATCTCTCCCAAGCTATTAAAATCAAATGATTAAAAGATGCAGCGGCAGTAGTGTACAGTATATAAATGTTTGCACACAGCAATCTTTCTGATAATGTTCCTCGAACAATGAGCGCATCAACACTGATTGCCATTGGCATAGAAACTGCTCCTACCAAAAGATCGACCATGGCCAAACTAGCGATCAAAATGTTGGAATTTGTCTGTAACTTTCTTATTTTCATGATTGCTACAATTACCAAGATGTTTAAACAAATGGTAAGTGGACAAGAAGCAGCTGTGACGGTGATAGCAAGCTGAAGGGAAGTTTTTCCCTTGGAGTTCTGGATAAACGGCGACATGTTTAGGCTAAACTTTGACGATCTGGAGGAATTATCCACGTAATTTTCTGTGCTATTCATATTTGTTACAGTCATGGAAACGTCCGATACTTAAGGTCGACGTCTATTTCACTTGAAAGGATCCGCATTATAAACTGTGATGCCTGATTGCAATCCTTGTAAATTGAATTTTCATCCTTGATTGCCTTTTTTGTAAAGCCTCTTATGATAGACTGATCTCCATGACAACAGTCGTGGGAGTTCTTGAGAACATTTCTCATTGCAGATGTTTGTATCTTTAAATAGAATTACATTTTAAAAATAATCCAGAGGACGATTGTTTTTAGATTAAAATTAACCTTCAGTTAGTGTCCGTTTCCTTTGTCTTAGTTGCTGACATATCATCCCTGATTTATACCAAAACTTTTTCAGAGGCTACAACACTACAGTTGGGATAAAAAATCAATGAGATCCTTTGGAATTTCCTCGTTGGTGAAAAGTCCGATAGAAACTGTCCTGTTGGCTTTTATGCGGCTTTTATATAAAGAGAGAGACGAAATTTGAAGCTTTTCTCGTCTTGAAAGCAGTGTTTCTATTTTATTTTCACCTTTCGAGAAATAATTGTTTTGAAATTTTTTTCTTTGAAAAATCATATTTCTACTCACAGTATGACTGATGTAAATACTGATGTTGAAATCGGCATTCGAGACTACACCCCAGGTCTCTCAGGGTAACCCAGACTCACCTTGGCGTTGACAAGGTTACAGATTGGGCTAACAGCTAAAGTAGCGCGAGATATGACGGAGAAACTTGACTATAAAATTGAAAGTGCAGTATTTACTCGGGAAAACAATCGATTAGGTCTTAATGCCAAAATTAGGAGTAAAAGCTAAAATTGCACGAAATAAGGAAAAAACTTCTTAAGGTAATGGTTAAGAGTGCAATAAATAACAAGAGAAAAAAACAATTAATGTAGGAGATAAATTGTGGAAGTAGTACGGGTATAAATCGCAGAGCCCCCAAGGCAGAAAAAAATTTAAGGTTTTTTCTTTTTCAACTGCTTATCACGTTTTATATTCTAACCATTAATAAACCCCACTTCGAAAAGAATTGAAAGCCAAAGAATTAACGGCCAAGAGCTAACGTCAGTTGTTAAGCGCAGTCGCAACTCTTCCGTGCGCAAGAAACTACAACTGCTTTGAAGGAGCATATACTTTTATTCAACACAATGTTTAGTCGCCATGTAACCACACCTAGCAATTCTGTTTTGTTGACTTCGCTTATATTTCAACTCTATCTTGTCAATTAAGCACAGTAATCTTAAAATTCCGAATTGACGTTTGACGTTTTTGCAGAAGTAAAACGGCTTCAAGTATGATTACCAACCACGAGATGTGGTTGTTACTCAGGCAATTGAACGCAGACAACCTGACAAAAGAGAAGCGCAAAATTTCCCCAGTACTTGATCGTTCAAATGTGAAATTCTCACTCAAGTCACTCAAGTCTCGTCCCTTATTTGCTGAAATTTAGCTCAGTTCTTAACTTCTGCGATAGCATTGCGAATTCATTTGCCTGGGCGGTCAATAGGGACCTCATTATTAAGCAGTCTATGTTCTCTCTCGGTTGACAACAATGCAAAACAAAATTGAGTTTATCCTGAACACATTTCCAATGACAGGTAAAACAATATTACCTTCTGTTACAAAAAGGACTCAGGATGCTAGAGGATTCACGAGGAAAGAGCTGCTCTTGGCTACGCCTCAAGCAAGTACTCTCCAAACCCTCCAAACTCTCCGCGTGCTTCACATCTTGATGAGAGCACGTGGTAAAGAGAGGTTGGAGCATTGAGTCAGGGATTTTTTTTGTGTGGAAATTTTAATCTAAAACGACGTTAACATCTCATGACATAGGATATAATGGCTGTTGCGTCCTTGAACTAGTTGGAACACAATTTTTGATGGACCCTACCCCTCGTCTTCTTCCTTGTCCTTCTGTTTTGTACCTTACTGATAAGTACTACGGTTGTTTATTGCTCGTACCTTCACGGACAAATTGACTATTCTTTTATACGTTGGCTTGCTAATGCGGAAGGTTTGGAGAGCATAAGAGATGATTTAGAACTGCTCTAGGCGCTGCAAAGGGTAAATATAGCTTCTCGAGTTCTCTCCAAACTTCCCAACTGCTTCACTTCTCGATAATCGCAAAGCTGACGCATGTACCGTTTGGGTTCTTAAGATTCTCGACAGGGTATTTTTATCCTATTGAAACAGGAACTCCCATCTCTGCTTTGCATAAAATGCAGCAGAAAGGATTGCTGTTTAAAATAGTTTATCACCGGGTACCAGTGGAGAATTACCACTTATCCGAGACAAATCAGATCTCGGAAGATACAAGACCATCGGTTGAATTAGCAGAGGTATTATATAGGTGTAAATATGCTTTCTTTGGAGCAACAATAAGTGCACCCGAAAACTTTTTAAAAATCTAAAGTTGCGAAAAGAGGAATAGATACTAAGTACATTTAATGTTTTCAAATTGGAAAAATGGCAAAATTCAAAGGAAATGGACTGTACACTTTAAATGATAACACGGAACATTCCTCCACGAAAGAACGGTATGGATTAAACCAACATATGTTAATTGCAGCACTGACCAATTTTTCTTCCCGTCCTTCCATGGACAGACTTAGCGCTTTGTCGCTGGGTCTGAGATACGGGAAAGTCGTGACGAAGTGGCAAGGCTGGCCAGTTTTAGGGTTTAGTAGGTCTGTGTGTGGGCCTTTTTACTCCTGTAGACATCTCTTGCATGGACCGGTTGGGGTTTCATAATTGGTCCAATAGTTTGTATCGACAGTAATCATTGTTTGATAATCTCGGCTTGTTGCCGCACAAAGATCTTTCTTCATCTCCACCATCACCGAGTAAATATGCAAAACGATCTTCCCCATGGGCTGGGAAACGGAGAGGAAATTCCACTGAACGCGGTAAGATACCGGAAGACTGTACGTATCTACAGTACTATTGGTCCAGATAACATTAATTGGTTGTAAAACGTTACAGTTTTAAGATATGTTAATACAGCTGTATGGCGAGCTCAATGAGGGGAAGAGGAGAGTTGGTCGGCCCGCCTGAAGGCCTGCAGCATCAGCATCTCAATTTGGGAGAAGGATGCTCAAAACCGAACGGCCTGGCGCCGCCGTGTGAGTCAGTCGATCAAGATGATCGACAACCGCTTGGAAGAAGAGACCAGACAACAATGCCCGGCAGCGTCGTGCGAGTAGTCTCCTCGCTTGCTTCAACAGCTCCCAACTCTCTCACCTGTCCCAACTGTGGCAGGATTTGCCAACACCGCATAGGACTGTAATCGCATCAAAGAAGCTGCCGTCCTACTCAACAATGAGTGACAGCAGGTAATGCTGGTTATTCTGTTTTCACGCTGCTGAACCAAATTCACGACCCTTAGAAAAAGTGCATTTAAAACACAATAGGCTGGAGTGCTGGTTATTGTGTTTTCGCGCTGCTCAACCAAACTTGTAAAACACCCAAAAAATCAAAACAGCTTTCCTTGGTTCCATCCTAGGTTTCAATGTAGACTCTATCAGGCTGATGTTGTCCTGGGATTTCTTCCTTCTTCTGCCTCGCATAACTCATCCCGGCCTCTATCCAATGCATGTGGTTCACGTAACCGTAACATTACTCCTATTTTTTTTCAATCAGTTGTTTTTTTCACAGATCACTGATATTGCTTACACCACCAGCAGTTTTGTTTACAATCCCTCTTCATTAATTTTCTTTTCTGGATTACTTATTTGAACTTTCGTTGCAGTTACTGTGATGCTTGGTATGCAACAATAAACGTTAAAAAATGGTTGTCATCAATTTTCAGTTAAGCTCTTTTCTTGGCTTTTTAAGTGCATTCTCTCTCTAAACCCAGTCATCTTTACTATAAGAATGAGAAAATTTCGTGTAGCTATCATTCAGATGTTAACGACAAAATCTATTGCGGTAGCTGAGGTACTTGAGAACAAGATATTTGGATCTAATCACACATACGTATAAAATATAGTACGCGGGACTAGTGCCAGAATACTGAATAAAACTGGGAAACACACTAACGAGCGCAGAACTTCGCAGAGAAAGTGAGCGCAATGAAGAAAATTAATGGTAGTCAACTTCCATGGATACGAGAGAAACGAAAAAGGAATAAAAAGACTTGTGCTAGAAACCGTTGGAAGAGGTCTCAATCCCCTTTGGTTCTGACACGTGGATTCATTCGTGTAAAAATTAGGATGGTAGAAAGGTTAAGCTATCTTTGTCAGCAATTTAAGCAAAATATTGCTCGGTACATTGATAAGTAGTTGGATCTTAGAATGGATTTTTTATTTTTTTATTTTTTTATTTTTATTTAAAAAGTAATTTTTTTATTTTAATAATGGCATAGTACTTTTGTTTAGAAGAATACAAGATATCACCAAGATAATTTTCTACTTATCTACTTAGATCAGTTTGAATTGTCGGGTAAATTCCGCATATATTTATATAACGAATGCATGAATTCGCCTGCCGAACTTGAGACGATCGGAAATCGATTACAAATTTTCAATTGTTTACGCCTGACATCCTGATTCTCCAACCATCCCGATAGCCCTCCACGAGCTAAGAATGTCGGTGGAGTGAGTGAAGAGAATACGTGAGATCATTTTACTCAGCATAACCAAAAGTACTCCTGAAAAAATCTAAAAAGGCTTCGGATTGTGGACAGAAGACCAAACACTTAACGTTACTACTATTTTGTTTGTTTTAGCAATGGACTCATCAATATTTGTTCTAGCGTTTAAACTGTAATAACTATCACTGACACTTTTATTAAAATTGCTTGTCCTTTTTTTAATTTGCATGCTAAACATTCGGGTGATAGTCGATGTGGAAACAGAGCGACAATAAATAAAAAAGCTCA